GGTAAGAAGGGAAAGCCAAGCAGGCAGACTTACAGAGAGTGCAGGCAAGTTGGTCGCATCTTTCAAACATGGGCAGGGAAAAGAACCAAGATCTTACCAAAGGAAAGGTTAATGGATTTATCAAATATTGAGGTACCATCAAGATAGATAAAAACATTAAGTTTGGGAGGGGACCGAACAAATATACTTCTATAGAGGACATGGTTCAGAACAGAAACATTCACAAATTAAAATGTCTTCAGACAAAAAAATAGATGAGCTCTTTGAGTTTGGTGGTATTTAACACAGAAAAAAATTATTTTAGGGGGAATCACGGGAAGAGATAAGCCTGAAAACCTTTCAAATTGTTTTTTTTTTAATATTAAGTATTATTTCTCATCATGAAAAGTAATGAAGCAGTGAAATATAAGCCATATCAAAAGGCATATTTTCAAGAGCTATTTGTGAGAGGTTGTCTTTTTTTTTAATGTTTATTTTTGAGAGAGAGAGAGTGCCAGCAAGCATGAGTGGGAGAGGGGCAGAGAGAGAGAAAAGGAGACACAGAATTCAAAGCAGGCTCCAGGCTCTGAGCTGTCAGGACAGAGCCTGATGTGGGGCTTGAAGCCATGAACTGCAAGATCATGACCTGAGCTGAAGTCAGATGCTTGACCAACTGAGCCAGGCACCCTGAGAAGTTGTTTTAATATGCCTTTCAAACCTGCCAACATGATATTGGCAGCTTCCTTAGAGACCCTGCTTATATAGAAGGAAGTGGATTTTTTTCAGTAATAACATTTAATCAATTTCTATGATCAGAATTATAATTTTTTTTAGCTTGCAACCTGACAAAGGTATAATGCAGGTAATTTAATGTAGTAAGCACATATTAAAATGGTTCTCATATATGAGTATTTCTGTACTTTGCTTCACAGTGTCACAGAAGCATCAACGTTTTGCCTTCAACAAGATAGACTGCAAATAGAAATCAAGGTTTGAACACACAATTATTAAAACGTATTTAAGCACAGCAGGATGACACATAAAACAATTACTTCACTTCAGAAAGGTACTGGACATTTACTATAAGTTGGCTGTTTATTAAAATTATGTTCCATTTCAATAAAAAGTGCTTAGATTTATCATTGGAAATTGACAGTTGTGTTACACATTTGAATTCTGAGGTTAGGGGCGCCTGAGTGGCTCAGTTGGTTGAGCGTCTAATTTAGGCTCAGGTCATGATCTCACAGTTCATGGGTTCAAGCCCCGCATCAGGCTCTGTGCTGACTGCTTGCTCAGAGCCTGGAGCCTGCTTCAGATTCTGTGCCTCCTTCTCTCTCTGCCCCTCCCTCGTTCATGCTTTGTCTGACTCTGTTTCTCAAAAATAAATAAATGTAAATGAATAGTGAGATTAAAAACACAGTATTTTTATCCCTGATCTATATAAACAATCAGAATTTTTCATTGAAGACAGGAAAGTCAGCAGGGTTTCATTCACTTATAATTCCAACATTTCTCTAATGCTACTACGTCATTCAGTAAGGCAAAATCTGTATTAAACTTATAATAACATTTTTGAGATAAATGGAAATGGATTGCATCAGTCTGATTTCATTATGAACAGATATTCTTTAAAATTAAGAGTAATTAAGGCACCTGGGTGGCTCAGTCAGTTAAGCATCTGACTCTTGATCTCGGCTCAGGTCATGATCTCATGGTCATGATCTCATGGTCGTGAGATCAAGCCCTGCTTTAGGCTCAGCACAGAGCATGGAGCCTGCTTGGGATTCTCTTTCTCCCTCTCTCTCTGCTGTTCCTCTCGTGCTCTCTCTCTCTCTCTCTCAAATAAATAAATAAATTTTAAAAATAAAAAGCAATTGAACAGGCTTGCAATAGAAAATTCCCCTCTCCTCATATAAATTTATTTCATTTTTTATAAATTTAAACAGTCTATGAGTAAGTTGACATTCCTGCAATTACAAAAACTAAAATCCAATCAAACAGAAAAAAGAAATATCTAATAAATTAACATAATTAAAATTAAATGTTTCACTGTGCAATCATATAGTTCATATTATCAATAACTAGCTAGTAAATAAAAAGATAATAATTAGTGTGAACTATTTTTTTTTGTAATTTCAAAGATTTTATGAAATGCATTGGGTACATGTAACATAGGTCCTCATTTCATAATTCCATTTCCAGATTTTAAAACATTACCTTCCAAATCTTATAATGAGATTGTGTGTGTGTGTGTGGGGGGGGGGGGGCTGGGGGGACAGGTTATCCTGACATTCTTGTGATTCATTTAAGAAATATTTATGATTCCCAGATCTGCTTCTATATTTACTCTCAGAATGCTTGTCTGCAAAGAACAAAACCCTAGTTTGAATGATCTATTTTGGAAGACACCAAGGGTGTTTGGAAGAGAAAGAGGATTGACTGATCATGATTGAGCCATGTGTATAAGTTGATGAGTAGGAAGAGAAAGTGGGCCAGAAAAGACACGAGAAAGGTAGGCATGCAGAGAAAAGCAGACAAAAAAAAAAAAAAAAACAAAAAACAAAAAAAAAAAAAACCCAACCAAAACACAAAACTCCTCAGCTTTACATTTTACAACTTCAACAAACGAAGCTAAACAGTAGGACACCTGACATGTTGCCAAGAAAGTGACTAAAACTCTATCCTAAAGAGTGGGGACAGAAGTCTCATGGTAGGAGAGAGATGGGAGGTATGAATTTCCAGGCCCAGAAAAATATTTAACGTATTAAAAGTTTCCAGTAAGGACTTTGGGATGGATTGACAATAGATAGATCTTACCAGTCCATAGTAAATACACTACGGCAGAGATTGCTCCTTGTCTTCCCAACAGTTATGTTTTTCCCTTCTTCTTTTTTGGTAATTTCATCTGGGCCTGGACAAAGAGATTACCTCTCCCGGCCTCAGTTGCAGTGAGATGTAGCCGTATGACTGAGTTCTGACCAACGAGATGCAAGTAGAAATGACGTGGGCATCTTCAGGTCGCAGCTTTAAAGGGAACCAGCTTGCTCTCCACTGCAGATGTCCCTGCACAACTGATATGCAGATGAGGACAACACAGTGGATGGTGCAGCAAAGGGAGAAAAGGAACCTGGGTCCCTGGGTGATCTCAGGGGACATAGGCACCACACTCCCTGGACCTGCTACAAGTCTAGGCTCTCGTGTGAAAGAGAAATAAGCCTGTCTTGTTTCTTGTTGTTATTTGGTCTTGGTTAAAATAGCTGGTTAAATTCCTGGCATGTTTCCATCCCTCAGGTGTGGCTGGAAGCACAAGGGGTAAATATCAAATTTATTATGTTGTAACAACCACTGTAGTAGGACTGACTTGAGTTGCGGGCGGCTATCCATATCACCAGAAATTTCTTGAATTGTTTAAAATGAGCATTTATTATTTAATAGAAATAGCCACTAGGGGCTCCTTGGTTGCTCTGTCGGTCAAGCATCAGACTTTGGCTCAGGTCATGGTCTCACAGTTCGTGAGTTTGAGCCCCACACTGGGCTGTGTGCTGACAGCATGAAGCCTGCTTTGGATCTTCTGTCCTCCCCTCTCTGACCCTCCCTGGCTTGCATGTGCATGCGCACACTCTCTCTCTCTCAAAAATAAACATTTAAAAAATAGCCACTATTACAAAAAATTAAAAACTATTTTACTCTCTTGTACACTCCTTCTATACTCATGTATTCTAGCACTCTCTTCAGTTATATCTCATTTATATTCTTTTATCACAGAAATAATTAAATCAGACACAAAGATAATAATATTGAGAGTAAAGTAAAAAACTATAGATATGAATGAGAAAACTATGGAGGATATTTTGTTTCTGCAGAAATTTCACACTTAATTACATGGTTGGTTTGGTTTTTCAAATTATACATAAACATTGATTTTCCCCTTGATTTTAATAAAATACTGTCATAGGAAATTTCCCTTTCAATGTGAAATAGGAGAATTCTACTTTAGGTCATCTGGAAGACAGTTGAAAAACAGATCTTGCATCACTGAGATTTGATTTTGCCAGATCTTCATGTTAACTTTGTGAAAGTTTTCTTTAAGACTTTAAATTTCAGAGGGATTATTATACAAAATTTATTTGAGGATTACATCTAACTTATGTCACATTTTCAATATATTTAAATAAGGAACTTGCAAAAAAAAATTTTTAATCTTTACTTACTTTTTAGAGAGGGAGAGAGAGTGTGAGCAGGGGAGGGGCAGAGAGAGAGGAGACACAGAATCAGAAGCAGGCTCCAGGCTCTGAGATGTCAGCACAGAGTCCCACACGGGGCTTGAACTCACCAACCGTGAGATCATGATCCGAGCCGAACTCAGATACTTAACTGACTGAGCCACCCAGGTGCCCCTAAATAAGGAACATTTTCTTGCAGGTTGTATTTCTGAATTTAAAGCTGCAACACATGACTTGAATCATGTTCTTTAAATTAGAAAGAGAGAGTAAAGGAAGAGATTAAAACTGAAAGGGCAGTGGGGCTCCTAGATGGCTCAGTCGGTTAAGTGTCCAACTCTTGATTCGGCTCAGGTCATGATCTCCAGTTCATGCCCGGAGTTGAGCTCAAGCCCCGAGTCGGGCTCCATGCTGACAGTGTGGAGCCTGCTTGGGTTTCTCTCTCTCCCTCTCTGCCCCTTGCCTGCTCTCTCTCTCTCTCAAAATAAATAAATAAACTTTAATAAAAAATTGAAGGGACATGGAAATTACAGTTTCTACAGTTTTTTCTCTTTTCACTGATGACAGAATCATAAGTGATTCTTATAAATCCATTAACAACTATAATTACTTTCCTTTTGGAAATAGCCACTATGTGAAGAAAACAAACATCACTGAACACTTGCTGGGCAATGTTTAATGATATATTGTAAGTGAAAAATACTGGGCATGGATTTTCATGTACCTGAATAATCCTGCAATTTAAGGAAACTGAATCTTACTTATTACCATTTTTGATATCCATGACTGTCGTTTTCTTACCATCCACATCTTCGTCAAATTTACATGAATTTCTTTTTGGAATCACTACAAAATCTGTTGAATCTAAGATAGGATTTTCTCCAAAAAAATCACCAGTCAGCATGACTTCCACTTCCTCTTCTACCTGCTTCCTGGACTGACATTTTATAACAACTACAGGAGAGAAACATTTCCAGTTGAGATGGAAGAAAATGAATTATGTCATGAAAAATATCCTTTAGCATACTTTGACTTACTGTGTCTGAATTAATACACACACACATACACACACACACACACCACACACAGTCATGCAATATGTATATACATTGACATTTTAGAAGCAAATAAGAATATTAAATAATATATAAAAATAGTATGACAAGAGGTTAATCTGGAAGGTACACACTGCATTTCAGAAGAGTATATTAGGATATAAAATTTGATTCAGGAACTGACCTAGTTATGTCAGTAATTCAACTGGTAGTCATGAACACATGAATTTTTCAGCTATCTGTATGTTCATTGTGGTAATTACCAAACTCTACTTATAAAATTATATTACAGCAAACACCTTCAAATCATTTTTAAAAATAAGTTCTGTAACATTTATTTTGTAATAACACTTTAAAAAGATTTCCTATTATTTATTCACTTGTACCTTAAAATTCACGTTTAAATCATTTCAGTAAAATATTTTGATTCTCATTTGTGAATTGCTTTACATTTACAAAATAAACTAATAGGGGCGCTTGGCTGGTTCAGTAAGTAGAGCATGCAACTCTTGGTCTCAGGTTTGTGAGTTCAAGCCCCATGTTGGGTGTAGAGATTGCTTAAAAATAAAATCTTTACAAAAAATACACTAACAGTTAAAAATAAAATTTTAATGAAGTACTTAAAATTAATGTTAAAATTTAATTACATATTAATTTAACATATAGCATTAAAACTTTATATATTTTTAAATAAATTAAATTTCAATGTTTTCTTATATCAAGTATAGAAGTTGTCAGTGATCTTGTGAGAAACCAAAATGTTGTTTCTATGTACAACTACTCATTACACATCGGAGTATTAATGTATTCCTTTGGCATTAGCTCTATAATATCATGGGGCCAAGTATACTAGAGTCTACATGTGGGAAATCAAATAGCTATGTCCTGGATTAGGAGATTATAGGGAATACATTGCAAAGCAGAACACTGCTTTCTGGCCTTGCTGAAAACAGCAGCCATGCCCTGCTTACCTGGTTAATGTGTATCTAGGGGTTAGGTCCTGCCTATGCTCATAAATTCCTTAGGCCATGTTATCACATGGAATATTTTACCCCGTCTTAATTTGTTTTTCTGACATTTTCTATATGTTCTTAGTGGCACGTAGCCCACTGACATATTGCTGATTGTTTCCCTAAATGTATGCTCAATAAATACGGGAGCTTGGCACACTTGGGTGGTTCAGTCAGTGAAGCATCTGACTTAGGCTCAGGTCCTGATCTCACAATTCATGAGTTTGAGCCCCATGTCTACACGTTGGGCTCTGGGCTGTCAACTCAGAGTCTAGAGCCTGCTTTGCATTCTGTGTCTCCCTCTCTGTCCTTCCTCTGCTTGAGCACTCTCTCTCTCTCTCTCTCTCAAAAGTAAATAAACATTAAATAAATAAATAAATAAATAAATAAATAAATAAATAGGGAGCTTGAGAGCAGCTTGGGGAGACTTCCCTCTGCCTCCCTCTCACCTCTCTTGACCTGTACGGAGTCTTGAGTAATCCTTTCTGCCATCCTGGGCTTGGCTGGACAAAGCCAAAAGCTGAACCCACATCCACATAAATAAAAATATTGTTTCTCAAAAATATATTAACTGTTATATTTTAATCACTTCAGATGCACATAAAACATAAATTTAATATAAGGGATAAAAGGGAATGATAATATAAAAAAGCCTATTTATTAAAAAAAGTTTATTTATTTTGAGAGAGAGAGTGAGCAGGGGATGAGTAAAGAGGGAATCCCAAGCAGGCTCAGCGCTGACATTGCAGAGCCTGATGCGGGGTTCAAACTCACAAATTGTGAGATCATGACCAGACCGAAATCAAGAGTCAGACGCTTAACCAACTGAGCCACCCAGGTACCCCCAAAAAAGCTTTTAAAATGTATTGCACTATACTGTGTGGCACCAATAATACTACAATCATCTAAACTGTACAACTAGATAATGTCCTCCAATTTATGTGTTTTCACTATACATATCACATTTATAGTACAAAAATATATAACATCAATTTATTTTTAATTCTAAAATTTGCAGGTTGGTATTGAACATTTTGGACTTAGAATAAGTAGTGAAATACAAGATGTGGATTAAGAGGGTTGACATGACTGAGGGAAATGTACAAGCTTCTTTGGTTTTAATTAGCTTCAGTCTTAAAGCATTAAATTGGAAATTAGTGTGATCAAAGTTACAATTAGTATCATGTCACTGGTCTTGTCCCTCTAAGTCCTTTGGAAATTAGTGCCCTGGCAATGCACGGATTTCTCAATCACAGTGGATTCACATTCCATTGTCTTCACACTGTGACAGTAGTGGAGTCCTTTTCCAATGATCTGTCCCAAAGGATAGGAGCAGATAAGAATACACACACAAAAAAGGTGGCTCAGAGAATGACAAAAGTACCCTGGGTTTAAGAATCACCTGAATGACAGACACATAAAAACAGAGGAGAAACAATAAGCATCGATGGTGATACAGCTGAGCAGAGAAAGCAATGTGTTATCTCTGATGTGTTCATAAGAATGAAGGATGGACTGTACAGAAAGGAAGCAATATGTATTTATATAATTGTACTCATTTTTTCTTCTCAAGGGCATTTGTAGATAAAAATAATTACTAGAATAGGCTTTAGAATTCTGCTAAAATGATTTAATAACTGGTATACAATCTGTTTCAGAACACTGATGTTACTATGGGGTTGTGCTAACGTGACACAGACTATTTATAGAACTCATACTTAATTTAAAAATCAAGTAATTACCAAGAGAAGTGATTTGATGGAAAATGCTTTCTGTTTTTGCAGCATGCTTAACTTTCTTTGAAGAAAACTGTGCAAGAAATTTATGCCTTTATGTTTGCATAGGCTTTGTTTCACACTGAAAGAAAAAAGCCTGCTTTAAAGCTTTAATCTGGGAAAAACAAAACTGTGTCTGCCATCAACATCAGCAACGCTGCTCTTAGTATTTCAACAGAGTAATGTCTAGGCTTTATTACATCACTTTGATCAGATGACTGCATCATAAATTTTGAACGGTTCAGCTCTATGGAAAGTATACAAACAATTTTCTTCTAGAAGGAAATAAAAGAAATGTTTTGGCATGTTTGTGAAGCAGTCAGAAGATAATTTAGTATATTTGAAACATTTATGTGTTGATAATTTTTTAACTCAAGAGCAAAAATACTTCAAGTAAAACAAATGACATTTACTGTCAAAGGTACTGCTAGATATGTGGATTTTTACTCCCGTTGAAATTAAACGACACAAGGAAATATGTAACCTTGGCCTTCAATGTATCCAGGGAAACGCTATTATCCACAAGCAAAAGTTAGTATTTTCTCTTCTTTCTCATTGTGGTGACATAATATATGCCAGCAGAAGACTAACTCTATTTCACTACCAAAGGTTGGTATCAGAAAGAGCAGAAAAATTCAAAATTTCAAGACTGCTTTCAGCTCATCTGTGTTGGTTGAGTGGGGGGGCTCCAAAACAGATATCCCCTTGCGCTGCTGAGCAATTCAGCAATCGTTAGTTATGAAGAACTATGCCTAAGGCCTAGTAAGAGGTTGCTTTATGGATATCCAAGAGGAATTGCATTTCTTAGGCTGACTGTGGGAAGAAAATGAGAAAACCTAGGAATGCAGAAGTGAGAAGAGTATTGAGGAAAGAGAACACAAGGAAGCTTGAGAGAAGTTTGGAGTATGTGGAGAAAAAGAGGGCTCACTGAGAAAGAGAAAGGCCTTTTAAGGGGAGGGATTTTATGTTGTGTATATGGTAGTGAAGTGAACCTCCTAGAAACCCTGAGTACATTCTGACCGGTTTTTGGAGGACATCGTACAAGTTTAGTGTCTGGGACAACTGAGAATAGAGGGATCAGTGTCCCCATTGGATGGTTCTTGGATGAGACTTCAAGTTGCACAGAAGCTGGAATCTGGCAAAAAAATGTGACGCAAGAACCAAAGTACCTGAGGATCAGATAGATCTAGAGCAGGGCTCCAGGGGCCTCACGACTGTGGGCTACAGGGGCCTGAAGCTAATGTTATTGCAATCTTAGCTGATTTCTAGGTTTCACCAACTGGAAGAACAACAGGACATGGTATGGTTTGGTGGAAGGATCGTTGGACTTACTGTGAGGAGACCAGAATCGGTCCCAGCGCTCCCATCAGTAGGGCTGTTCAGTTCACGACTTTCTTTGCACCTTCATTCTCTCACTTGTATAAGAAGGGGGTGGGAATAAGGGAACCTCTGTGATCGATCCCTTTGAATCCTGGTATTCCCGGATTCTAAAATATACCTACCTGGAGGGCATTTAGGATATAGTGCCTGTGGGAGTCCAAGAATAGGGTATATCCAGTGTATTTCTGGGATTTCTCTACTTGCTGTTCCCATTGTTCTAATGAGAAATTAAATGAGGAAGAGTGAACAAAAACTATGAACACTTTGAATACTAGCATAAAAGAGAATATTCATTTTTAACCTAATGGTATTTTAGCAGAGCTCATGAATTTAAACTTCGGTAGAGGAAAACTATGAAATACAAATCATTTTCTGCAAATGTTATAAACATGTCAAAGCAAACCCTGGGAAATTATCACAAAGAAAAATGTAACACAACCATCATGAGATGGAAGTTAAAATTGAAGAACTTTCCCCCTACTTTTAAAAGTCAGTATTGGCATTTACTGATGTGACTAAAACATGATTTATCAGAGGTAACACAGGTCCTGTGGGTTGTATTCTAAATTGCACAGGAGAGGCATAAAACACAAAAATGCCATTGAGTACAGGACTTCAGAAGGTGACAAGGAATTTACTTTTGGGGGGATATCAGCTAAACGAAAGAGGGCATTTGCCAAAACCATCAAGATGACAACAGTACTAGGACATGGTTCTGGTCATTGCTGAAATGGGCTTTTCTTGTTAGAAATGAAACATAAGACACAGCAGGCAGGACCAGCTGCATGAGCATGTGACCTGTGCAACAAATAGCACGAGGACCCCATGTTTAGAATTGGTCCATGCGTGTTTAACACATAGCGATAAGTGCTTTGAAATTGTTAACCATTTTGAACAAAGGCCCCCACATTTTCATTTTACATTGGGATCCACAAATAGACAGGCAGTCCTGACTGTAGGAATGGTAAAAATTGTGGCAGAATGGACACTAATGGGTTCACAGGAAAGAATTTTCTTTTAATGTTTATTTTTGAGAGAGAGAGAGTACACACACATGCAAGCAGGGGAGGGGCAGAGAAAGAGGAGGATAGAGGATGGGAAGTGGGCTCTGTGCTGACAGGAGAGAACCCGACACGGGGTTCGAACTCATGAACTGTGAGATCATGACTTGAGCTGAATGAAGTCAGACACTTAACCAACTGAGCCATCCAGGCACCCCAAGAATTTTTTTAAATGTGGAAAAGAGGGGCGCCTGGGTGGCTCAGTCGGTTAAGCGTCCAATTCTTAAGTTTGACTCATGTCATGATCTCACAGTTTGTGAGTTAGAGCCCCGCACTAGGCTCTGTGCTGACAGCATGGAGCCAGCTTGGGATTCTCTCTCTGTCTCTCTCTCTCTCTTTCTCTCTCTCCCTCTCCCTCTCTCTCTCTCTCCCTCTCTCTCTGCACCTCCCCCATTCGTGCTCTCCCTCTCTCTCAAAATAAACAAATAAAACTTTTAAAAAATGTGGAAAAGAAATAGGCACCCATAGGAAGAATTTTGTTTTAATTAAGATTTCTAGATTGTTATTTAATTAAACTATAAAAGCAGAGAAAACATAGTTTGATCATTATTGGAGTTTGCTTAAAATTCAGTGAAGCAAAGAAGGGACAGGCGGCCTGCATCCTGCAAGGACACAGTATGGCAGTAGTCAGACCAGTGTTTGCTCAGGGTGTCATACCTCCTGGCACAGTGCCATCACTTGGTAAATGCCAGTATCACAAGTCCTATAGTTGGCCAAGACAAGCTATTTCAGGTTGTTCTCTAGAGATTTATTATTTGGCGTCTCAGCAGTAACTGTTTTCCTAGTCAGAAAGGAGTCCTTTGCACGTCTCTGTGATTCACTGACATGATACTTAAGGTTGACTTTTTCATCACCCTGAACTTCAAATCACTCTGAACGTCAAGTGATATATACTATGCCCATATAACAAATGTATTTTCCTCTTCCGAACATACAAATTTCAACACTTCAGAGAATTTAAAATCATGGACTTTACGTTACATAACACAGAAAAGAAAGTGATCATGTCAATGCCAATCAAAATAAAATCATTTTCCCTAAATGTTCTTATTTAAAAGTTACCTTTTGGGGGCACCTGGATGGCTCAGTTGGTTAAGCATCCGACTTCAGCTCAGATCGTGATCTCCCAGCTCGTGAGCTCAAGCCCCACATCAGGCTCGCTGCTGTTAGTGCAGAGCCCACTGGGATCCTCTGTTTCCCTCTCTTTCTGCCCCTCTCCCACTTGTGCACTCTCTCTCAAAAATAAATAAAACAATTAAAAATAAATATATATAAGTTACCTTTTCATTTCTGTGTCTAATTCTTCAAAATTGTCAATAGGCCAACTTTCTCTATTTGCCCTCATCATTTGAACAATGACCATTGTTCTGTGTAATTTCATAGTGTTGGGCATAAATAACACTGGGATATCTATATTCTCTTTAGGAGGTAATGTGATTCCTGTAAAAAACACAATTAATTTTTAATGTGGTAAACATTTTCAGAGTATAATTTTAACAGCAGAAAATAATCTCCTAATTCTTTTACTGGTTATCAGTTTTTCATAATCACTTCGGAACAAGAAAATGCACTATGCTAAATTATAAGGGCACTTCACTGGCTTCACTAATTTTCCTCAAATGCCATCAATGCTATTAAAAAAACACATTTTAACCTGAGGCAAGAAGCCTCTCCTGAAGAGGCTGGAAGGGATGAGGAAATGTTGAGAATTCTGGCTTGTGTTTCCCAGAGTGATAAAAGAACTATAAAACCCATGAGTCTTTTCAAGTCTTACTACATTTTCCAAAAGCCAAAGTACTGCAATTTTTGACACTTTAATTTCTTGTCTTTTTTTTTTTTTTTTTTTCTAGACCATAACAGTGCCAGGTTTCTGCTTGGAGCACCAAAATTGTTACCAGCAACCTGTTCATTTATTTACTTGATCCATGCGGGAAGCTGAAGCTTATTTGTGAAAGAAAGGCCAGGTTGTAAAAACCAGAAGACAGAAACACCAACAGCATTTTCTTGTGTTCTAATGGATTCGACTTTTTCAACCTTTACTCTGCATAAGAAACACCTGCAAAACTTGTAAGATATGAGCTTACTAAGCCCCAACTATATATTCTGATTTATTCAGACTGGGCTGGGGCCCAAAAGCTCCATGTGTAAGTAGCTCCTCACAGGATCCAGAAGCAGATGGTCATGTGACCACACTTGGAAAAAAACATGCACATCCTACCTATTGGACAAGTACTGGGATGTCCTCCTTTATTTTGAAGAATAACACTGTTTCTTTATAAGAAAATAAAAGATTACTGACTACATCCTGTTTTTTAAAAATTCTTTGTTATAAAATCAATGATTTTCAGCCATTTTGTCTCAGATGAAAACACTGCACTAAACTACTAAAGACATCAAGAAAGGAAACAGAAAATGGCCCCTCCGCAAAACATCCCACCTCCAAATTCTTACAAATTTTTCTTTTCTTTTCTTTTCTTTTCTTTTCTTTTCTTTTCTTTTCTTTTCTCTTCTCTTCTTTTCTTTTATTTATTTTTAATGTTTATTTACTTTTGAGACAGAGACAGAGTGTGAGCAGGGGAGCGGCAGAGAGAGAGAGAGGGAGACACAGAATCCAAAACAGGCTCCAGGCTCTGAGCTGTCAGCACAGAGCCTGACGCTCGGCTTGAACCCACGACTGTGAGATCATGACCTGAGCCAAAGTTGGATGCTTAGCCGACTGAGCCACCCAGGCGCCCCCAAATTTTCAAATTTTAAATTTTAGTTCTTCAGGAAATGAAAATGTTCTTATGTCTCCTATCATAGTTAATAACAATAACTAATATGATTACCACTTAGTATTTATTGAGTACTCACTATATGCCAGGCTCTGTGCTAAGTATTTTTCACACAATACCTCACTGCATTCTCAGAAAATCACTGTAAATTCTGTGCTACTATGTTTCTTATTTTAGAGGTGGAGGAATTGAGACAATTTGCCAAAGTCCCAATGAAAGACTGTGTGGCTTACTAAGACATCTAAACAATGTCTGTCACTTTCAACGTCATCCTTATGAACTCTAGATGTTTAATGAATCATTGCAGTCAAATGGATAAAAGTAGCAAGAGCTGGAATAGGATAAAAAGAGTAAGAGCGGCATTAAATAAACCATCCCTGTATCCCTAAGGAAATCAAATTAAGAAGTGATCATTTACCCTTACAAAATTTTATGTTATCAGTAAAAATAGATTTTAGAATGACTGAAAATAAAACCTAGACATTTAGATGATATAAGGAGTCAAGACAAAGATACAAAAGAGTAATTCATTGCCAACACCATGCTTTCTTATAATGTTTGAATTGAAAGTGTGGAAAGACAGTGCTATGATAAATAAGCCCATTTAATTAAAAATCCAATAGCCTATTTGCAGCCATAATGTTTTAGCAGTCTACAAGTAGACACAGTTCTCTGCTGAAGTGATCGTAAGTTTCTTTAATTGTTATTATATGCTTGAATAGTAAGAGGCACTGTGTTGTTATTACATGAAATCACTGAAATTTAACATCAACAAGAACTTTGAGAATTTATCAAGTTCATCTTGTGTCTCACAAATGAGTTTTATTTTCGTGGTTTTCCCACTATCCTGTGCAACACTTTGAGTAGAGACGGGAACGCTGTTCCCACTTCTATCTGCTAAAAAATCTACCCGTGGTTTCTTAATACCTATATGCTTTCATTTTTATGGTTCTTTGATCCGTCGGTAACTTATCCATACATATGAAATGAAGAAGAACGTTTCCAAGGTTACCCATTTCCTATGGGGGACTAGTTATACAAACTCACTTATTTAAAAGTTCACTCATTTGCAATGCTGCCTTCATGGCATGTGCATACATATTTGACTCTTTTCCTGGACTCCTTAGATTTCTTTGGTCTTTCTTTCTCTTCATTTGTAAGTGACACATTGTCGTAATTATAGATGCTTTATTTTCTAGTGGGACTAACTGACTCCTCCTCCAACTCATTTTGTAAAAGAATTTTTCTACATTTGAAATACACAATTAGTTCCAGGAAATGGATGGGGTAGCAAATAGTACTTTTAATGGAATCATCCTACATTTATATTTTTGGGATCACTGACATTTTTGTCTATTCATGATCCATCCAAGGGCAAGAATATGGCCTTTATTTTATATTTCTCATCTGGGCATTGCATGACGTGCTTCTAAATTCTTGGAAGAGCTTTTCAGATAGTTTTACTTTTCAGACTTGCTAGAGTCTTATTTTGGCATTTTCATATGTATTTAGCAGGAGGGTGAGAGAAACCACGTTAGTTTTTTCTATTCTCTGACTAGGAAATCCAGCCAGTATGATGATCACTATACTCATTAGGTTGATAAAATTATTCTAAACTCAAAATATTTTCTGAACCTATCTCTGTCTGTTTTATTCCATTTCCATAGAGGAAGCACACAAACTAACTGCACCCATATTTATTTTTTTCCATTACAGTTATCATTCTTGAGGTTTGAAACCCTAATAAGGGTTTTAAGAATGCACATTTTATTTTACATAATTTTATGGACTGATATATTTTATGAGAGGTTTACATTATTTATAGAATTTTTCAAAACCCTGATAATACTTCACGTTTAGTGTCTGGGAAACGTTACAAAGCGTGGTATTACTGTTTTACCTTTGAAATCTCCTATGGCCTCATTGCACTTAGCATTCAAATTTTATTCAGTATATTTTAAAACTCCTATTTTGATTGCTCTTTTGATTAAAGGTGTTAGAAATATTTATGCACTGATCTCCCATTTGAAATATAGAAGTTGTACAATGCGTTAATGGCTATGAGATTTCCTGCCTTCTTAGAAGAAAATCTTCTCAAGAGAGTAAAGTGAGCATAATCCTCATTTTAGTAATGAAAGTATTTCATCCTGGGAGAGTCATGTTTAATCATTTTAGTGGTATGACATTACTGCTTCCCACAGCATAATTTCTAATATTTAGCATGGCATTAGAAATGGCCCATGTCAGGTAATCAAAGAGATACTATGAAACATATTAGCACCCTGAGCCATGCTATTATTTTTGTTATAGTGGTTTATTTTAAATAAGAGTCCAAGTTTAAAATTTTAATTTTAAATAAGAGTACAAGATGAACATGACTTTTCATCAACCATTTTCTTTCTTTCTTTTTTTTTTAAGTTTATTTTGAGAGAGACAGAGAGAGACAGAGAGAAGGGGAGGGGAGAGAGAGAATCCCAAGCAAGCTCCAAGCTCAGCGCAGAGCCTGACAAGGGGCCTGAACTGTGAGATCATGACCTGAGCTGAGATGAAGAGTTGGATGTTTAACCAACTGAACCAACCAGTCACCCCTCATCAACTATTTTCAAACATGAAATCTATCTACTTTCTACTTGGATACTTTATACTTTCAATAACTGATTTCAAATATCTTTAAATTATGATTAATAATGGCACTGATATGGTGAAGTCCTGATTTCCTGTATCTCAGAACTTAAGGCCTTGGACTTAAGGCCTTTAAAGAGGTGGTTAAGTTAAAATAAGACTGTTAGAGTGGGCCCTAATCCAATATGGCTGGTGTCCTTATAAAAAGGGGAAAGTCAGATACAAAGACACACACCAGGTATGTGCACACCCCAAAGGAAAGACCATGTGAGGACACAGTGGGAAGGCAATCATACCTCAGAAGAAACCAGCCCTCCCACCCCTGCCACCGATTGCTTGATCTTGGACCCTAATCTGTAGAACTGTGAGAAAATAAATTTATCTTGTTTAAGCCACCCAGTCTAGTATTTAGTTATTGCAGTCCTAGCAAACTAATGCATGAAATTGTCTTTTGTTATGCTAGAGGCTGAGGCATGGGATGCCACTGAATTTGCTTACAGAAATTCGAATTCCAGGCTCTCAAAACATGGGGCAGATAAAGAAACTTGACGCTGTTATTTGGCTGCTATAATCACGGAAAAGCTATAGATGAAGCATTCTTCCCTTCCTACGTGTACCTCATCAAATGAATGGGGCATCTAATGAACGGCAAGAAAAGCATTTCAGAGATTGTGTTTCCTTTGTGAAAGATTAAAGCCTGTTGCTGCTTTACTCCATCTTTTGACGAGCTAGCTAATGCTTGAGCTTCAATGAAGTTGTGCAAAGAAGACACTATCAACGGGGCTAGTATAGAAAAAGCAAGCACTAAGTGGAAGGTTATATTTGATAAAATGGGTAACTGGGGAAAAGATACAAATCCATGCTTACTAGAAAAAAAATGTTAAGTTTGACACATAAAATGTTTTAAAAGATTTTGGAGTTATTCAACACAAATATGATTGCTAAGGTAAATTTTACACCATGAACTAAGCACCTGTAAGTTCACGTTTTGTGTTTGCTTTTTAAATCCAAGAATACATTAGCAAAAATAAAAACAAAGTAATA